GAACCGAGATCTTTGGGTTATAAACTTACATTTCAAGTGTCAACAAAATTGGATAAAAATTGTGACCTCTATAGAATCCACAACCTTGATATACCGTATTTTTACGCTATTTGAGAACGAACGGCGGCCATTTTGTCTGTCAATTTTGGGCCGATTTTCGAACTCAGTCGTTCTTAGGGTGTAACGGTGATATAATAGTACGGTTTATGAAATCGGATAAAAATTATGACCTCTATAGGGTACACAAGCTAAAACGCGATTTTTCGTACAATCAGGGGCCATAATTCAGAAAGTTACGGCCCGATATGCGCGAATATCGAAAAGAACCGAGATCTTTGGGTTATAAACTTATATTTCAAGTTTCAACAAAATCGGATAAAAATTGTGACCTCTATAGGGTCCACAAGCTAAAAACGTGATTTTTGGTACAAACACCGAATCGATGAAGTTTCGATCCGATACATGGCAATATCGAAAGCAGTCGAGATCTTTTGGAGATAAACCTATATTTCAGGTTTCGTCAAAATCGGATAAGAATTGTGACCTGTAGAGTGTCCACAAACAATTGTGGACGGACGGACAGGGGCGACGACAATATACGTCCACATGAAATAGTGGACGTATAAAAAATAATTTCGAATCTTTATAAATTTAGGCTTGCCAAAAGTCTCCATGAGCATGTTTATCTTGGATCATGTACATGTATATTAATAATAATAATAATCATATCAAAATGTAATGGTGTTTGACATCATACAATTAGCAATTATCTTGGACCATTTTATATCATGTAGATCTATGGATGATAACCAACTTTCCGTTTACCGCATCTGGCTTATCCATGGTACATGAAATATCAAAAAGACACATTTTTTGCATATTGATTAAAAATGTTATATATTAACATACTTTATCTTTTCTTTTCAGAAGTATGCCTCCGTAGTACGGAGATTGATTGTTGGGTTCCCAGCCACCACAGCCACATTGATACAAGCACCGTTAGCCCTAAATTCAGCCTGTTTAAATCCAACCTCAAAACATATTTATTCATTTAGGCAATAACTACTAGTCAATCTAATGTTTTTATAGGCATACATTTGTATATCTTTAATTGAGATTTTTTATGAGTTATTGGTAGTGTTTATTCATTTATTATTATGTATATACTATGTGTAGTACGCCCATGTAAAGACGGTTGAGACAATTTGTGTGTAACGGTCTATAAGCAATATATATTATTATTATTATTATTATTATTATAGCACCATCAGCCACAACAACACCATCAATCACAACACCTATCCAGACAGCACCAGCCATTGTACCAAATGCCGTAGCATTCGTAGCCACAACAGCACTAGAGCCCACGCCAACCCCCGCACCTGTACCAGCCATTGCACATACTTCAGCACCAAATTCCGAGACACCAGTAGCCACAACAGCACCAACGCCAACCCAAGGACCAGCACCAAATGCCGTAGCACCAGAAACACCAGTAGACACGACAGCCAGAACCAGCAATTGCACCACCAGCAACCATGCCAATACCAGCACCTATCCAGACACTAACAGCACCAGTCATTGCATTGAATTTAACACCAGCACCAAATGCCGCACCAGAGGTCACAACATCACCTAGGAGCAAAACAGTAGGACGTTAAACCCCATTTCATTTCATTTCACAACATCACCAGAACCAACCCCTGCACCAACGCCAACTCCAACTCCAGCACATATCCATACACAAACAGCACGAGCCATTGCATATACTTTAGCACCAGCACCAAATTCCGCCTCACCAACAGTAGCCAAAAAGGCACCAGCAGCAACACCAGCACCAAATGCTGTGGCACCAGCAGCACTCCTGCCAATACCAGCACCAGCAGCCACACCAGAACCAGAGTTAGACTTTTCCCTACTCGCAGCCTTACCTGACTTGGACTATTTGGAACAAACCAGTCCTGCTAGGAAGAAATGGGATTGTAGCTCTACGATAATGCATTCGCTGGACGTCATTATGAAGAGAATAAGAAAATCAGGAAAAAATTCTTAAAAAATAGAAAAGAGCCAGTGGAAATTTGCCAGCCAGCTATAGTCACAGACGTGACTGTGTTTGATGATATTCCGGACGAATATAGAATTTCCGTTGTGGAACTAAAAAAAATAAAAACTCACTCATTAAATATAGGAAATTTTGCTTCTAAAGTTACTATTAGACTATTCCCAGAATTATTTAAGAGGAAAATAAAAGTCACCATTATTCGTATTTTGGAGGGGGAAAAAAGCAAAAATTAGAATTGGAACATAGGAGAAAAACATGAATTAAACGGTATGTACTCCATTACTATCCTGAGGTCTCTGACGTCAAGGTCTGGAAAGACCGTATCGTCCCGCTTATTAATGACGCCCTACGAAGGGAGAGAGAGAGAGAAATGGGGTTTAACGTCCACTCGACACAAACTAGGTCATTTCGGGACTAACATATGGTTTAATTTTATTTACATAATTTGCTTGCGCGTAGAGGTCTTTAGCTGTGGGAGGAAACCGGAGGACCCGGAGAAAACCCACGAGGTTGGACAGGTGACCCTACTCCTTGCCACGCACAACCGGGGATTCGAAACCACGCCGGTCGACTCAATGACAGACTTTATGATACAGCGCGCGCACGCTAACCATTCAGCCATCCAACCCCCGCCCTACGAAGGAAATAATGACGACAATGTACATACATGTATATAGTTTTAGTCAGTAATCACCCCAAAAAAACCAAAACAAAACCCACCTTTACTTTGTAGATGTGTTTATATGAAGCATATGTTAATAATATGCATATTTCCATTGGGTAAATAAAGCACCGAGAAGGTAATTAAAATAGCTACCTGAGTATGTAATTACAAGAAATGTTGAACAGATTGAAGAACCTTTTATTTGTTGAAGTATTTATATGATGTACATGTATATGTAATTAACAGAAACGCTGATAATATTTTGTCAGTGTATGTACAAAATTGTAATTAAATTGCTTCTAAATCATTTGGTACTCAAAATGCATTATGAATAAATAAATGTCTGACGGATTGATCGATCGTTATTCTTGTCTGTTCAATGACTGATACGAATTGATCTGTTTTGATCTTGTGTGGATCTGTCATCAAATTGGATCTGTGTTATGATACAGACGTCAGTTTTAAAGCCGAAAGTGGGGGGTCACGTGGCTAAGGCGCTGGATCGCTAGCCTGGAGGTCGGGTGTTCGATCCCTGCATTGGCCAAGAAAGTTCATCCAGATCTTCCGGCGTGGTTTCCCCTTGTCAGTGATGCAGGACGGAGGGCCTGACAAGGACAGCTGTTTAGTCCTTCGGATGAGACGAAAAACCGAGGTACCGTGTACACATTGGCATGCACGTAAAAGATCCCTTGGCAGTTGGAATTCGATATAAGAGTAGGCCGTAGCGCCGCTGCCTAGGCAAAATTTCCCCAATAGCACACTGTATGGGTTATGTCCGTCTTCATTATCCCAGTTTAGGAGCAGAACAGTAGGACGTTAAACCCCATTTCCTTTCCTTTAAAGCCGAAAGCAGAATTAAACTTAAATTGGTAAACATTCTTTCATGGTGGATCCACCTGTAAATGTATATATTGAGTGCGGTTGCATTCGTGTTGCCGAATTATCATTTAATTGACATACACAAACTCTCAAAATTTATCGCCCGCTTTGTCCGCTAAAAGTTCAATATTATATATTTATGCTGCATGTACTAACAACAAAACACTTAAATTACTCTCCATGCTTAAAGCTACATGTAAGGGTGCGAATTGCTACTCCATGAATACTTTTTCAGACCATTCTACATGAATCAGAATTCACGAAACATGGTTTCATTGTCGGATTAAGCGTTGACATCCACAATAGCTACACATATGTGTATGTTCTTTCTATACCGATGTTCATTAGGCATAAAAGATGGTCCTTTCTAAATATATTTGTAGACAATTTGTCGCAAATTTTCCGATGGTGTTAACCGAATTCATGAAAAATGGTTTCATTGCCTCGTGTAAAATTAACAGTTGACACCCAAAATAGCAACATAGACTGTGGTATATGTTTAAATGTTTTATGTTCATGTAATTATCAATGCATACAATTCACCTTTTGTTATTAAATCGTTCAGCAGCCATTATTATAATAATAATAATAATAATTTATTCTGTATCAAAGGCCTCCGGCCCAAAGTACACGTATAATATAATATAATATAATAAAGTTTATCATATAAAATAGTTTAAATACGAATAAAGACATCAAATATCATCAATATAATACAAACAATCAGCGGTAATATAAATCTAGCGCAGCCGTCGGATTTGATCGTTTAATTGTGTTTCACATTTATTTCAATTTCTTTCAACTTATTAGGAAAAGAAACTAATCAATTTGAGGTACAAATCTGGTGCATATTCTAATTCTGGTTTGGCAAGTTTTTGCGGGCCGACTATATTTATTAGGGGACTATAATCCGCCGCTGTTTTTATATTTTCGCGGACTATAATCCGCTGTGGTTTTTATATTTTCACGGACTATAATCCGCCGCAGTTTATATATTTTCGCGGACTATAATCCCCCGCGTTTTTTATATTTCCGCCGTGTTTTTTCTGCCAAGAATGCCGATATTTTCGTGGAGTGCAAATGAGAAAACACCGCCATTCTTGAGCGGAAAAAACACCGACCAAGGACTAATTTCAAACTTCCACTTGACCAGTACTGTAAATGATTTACGACAAACATCACATGTAAAGGGTTTATCACCTGTATGAAGTCTGATATGTCTCTGTAGATGACTACTGTTAGTAAATGATTTACTACAAACACCACATGTAAAAGGTTTTTCACCAGTATGAATTATGATATGTTTCTGTAGATCGCTACGGTTACTAGATGATTTACTACAAACACCACATGTAAAGGGTTTTTGTCCACTATGACTTCTGATATGTCTCTGTAGATGACTACTGTTAGTAAATGATTTACTACAAACATCACATGTAAAAGGTTTTTCATCCAGTATGAATTATGATATGTCTCTGTAGATGACTACTGTTAGTAAATGATTTACTACAAACACCACATGTAAAGGGTTTATCACCTGTATGAAGTCTGATATGTCTCTGTAGATGACTACTGTTAGTAAATGATTTACTACAAACATCACATGTAAAAGGTTTTTCATCAAGTATGAATTATGATATGTTTCTGAAGATTACTACTATCAGAGAATGATTTACTACAAACACCACATGTAAAAGGTTTTTCATCCAGTATGAATTATGATATGTCTCTGTAGATGACTACTGTTAGTAAATGATTTACTACAAACATCACATGTAAAAGGTTTTTCCATCAAGTATGAATTCTGATATGTCTCTGTAGATTACTACTGTTAGTAAATGATTTACTACAAACATCACATGTAAAAGGTTTTTCACCTGTATGAATTATGATATGTTTCTGTAGATTACTACTGTTAGTAAATGATTTACTACAAACACCACATGTAAAGGGTTTTTCACCTGTATGAAGTCTGATATGTCTCTGAAGATTACTTCTATCAGTGAATGATTTACTACAAACATTGCATGTAAAAGGTTTTTCACCAGTATGAATTCTCATATGTCTGTGTAGATCGCTACGGTTGGTAAATGATTTACTACAAACATCGCATGTAAAAGGTTTTTCATCCAGTATGAATTCTGATATGTTGCTGAAGATTACTACTGTTAGTAAATGATTTACAACAAACATCACATGTAAAAGGTTTTTCACCAGTATGAATTATGATATGTCTCTGAAGATTACTACTGTTAGTAAATGATTTACTACAAATATAACATGTAAAAGGTTTTTCACCAGTATGAAGTCTGATATGTTTCTGTAGATCGCTACGGTTACTAGATGATTTACTACAAACATCACATGTAAAGGGTTTTTCATCAAGTATGAATTCTGATATGTTTCTGTAGATGACTACTGACAGTAAATGATTTACTACAAACATCACATGTAAAAGGTTTTTCACCAGTATGAAGTCTGATATGTTTCTGTAGATCGCTACGGTTACTAGATGATTTACTACAAACACCACATGTAAAAGGTTTTTCACCAGTATGAATTCTGATATGTCTCTGTAGATGACTACTGTTGGTAAATGATTTACTACAAACATCACATTTATAGTGCTTTTCACCAGTATGAATTCTGATATGTTTCTGTAGATGACTACTGTTAGTAAATGATTTACCGCAAACATCACATGTAAAAGGTTTTCCATCAAGTATGAATTCTGATATGTTTCTGTAGATGACTACTGTTAGTAAATGATTTACCGCAAACATCACATGTAAAAGGTTTTCCATCAAGTATGAATTCTGATATGTCTCTGTAGTTTACTACTGTTAGTAAATGATTTACTACAAACATCACATTTATAGTGCTTTTCACCAGTATGAATTCTGACATGTTTCTGTAGATGACTACTGTTAGTAAATGATTTACAACAAACACCACATGTAAAAGGTTTTTCATCAAGTATGAATTCTGATATGTTTCTGTAGATGACTACTGTTAGTAAATGATTTACAACAAACACCACATGTAAAAGGTTTTCCATCAAGTATGAATTCTGATATGTCTGTGTAGATGACTACTGTTAGTAAATGATTTACTACAAACACCACATGTAAAGGGTTTTTCACCTGTATGAAGTCTGATATGTCTGTGAAGATTACTTCTATCAGTAAATGATTTACTACAAATATAACATGTAAAGGGTTTTTCACCAGTATGAATTCTCATATGTCTGTGTAGATCGCTACGGTTACTAAATGATTTACTACAAACATCACATTTATAGGGTTTTTCACCCGTATGAATTCTTACATGTCTCTGAAGTTTACTACTACATGTGAATGATTTACTACAAACACCACATTTAAAGGCATTTTCTACAATATGAGTTCTCGTGTGTTGCTGCAGGCCATCTACATCATCAGTTTTCTCATCTTCAACATGACAATATTCATCTACGTCATCAGTTGTGTCTTCTTTAACATGACAATATTCATCTACATCATCATCAGTTGTCTCTTCTTTAAAACGAACATGACAATATTCATCTACATCATCAGATTTCTCTTCTTTAAAACGAACATGACAATATTCATCTACATCATCAGATTTCTCTTCTTTAACATGCACTTTGTAGTGGTTTTCTAAACTACAAAAACTTTGAAAAATTTCATCACATACTTTACATTGATGAAAAGTTATATCATCGTTAGTTTCCTGTAATATATAAAAAATATAACATTATTAGTTTCTTGTAATATATAAATGTTATAACATTATTAGTTTCTTGTAATATATAAATGTTATAACATTATTAGTTTCTTGTAATATATAAAATAAAATAAAACCAAGTACGAACAATCCAAATCATTAGACAAAATTCGAAATCCTAAAAAAATGGTATAGGCAAAATAGTGTAATAAGGCAAAATAGTGTAATCAGCATATGGACTGTTCACCGTGTACAAAATACACGACAAACAGTGGTAACAGGTGTCAGGAAGAGTAAGCTTACCCTGCCTGGCGCCACACCCGCCATAGCTGCATCCAAACTATTAGGCGAAATCTCGGTAAAATAGTGTGATTGGCCAAAAGTTATAACCAGTGCTCACTCTGGGTTTCATTATTTTTCTGCCAATTTTTCATTTTAATTTTTTAGCCATATATTTTTTGCTGCCCAAAAAAGAACAAATATCTATCAGATTTTTTCAGTAATTTTTATTTACACAAGTACATACAATATACATATGATATTAAAATTTACAAAATTCTTCTCTGCTTTGCAGAAGCTTATTTTTTGAAAGCTTTTTGAACATCTGGGGTAACCACTTTAAGTAACATTAATTTTACACAGAGCGTTTGTTCTTAATGATACCAGAAGCCCATCTTTTCCCAGTAAGATCACAACATAAATGTTGATTTAAATTGACAAATAATTTGTGTTTTCATTGTCGAAGATTTTGGATGATATTGAGTTACAGACTTAGCTACTTTAATAATGAAATAAGCAAGGGGAACTTTAGTAGGCATATGGCCGGGTTATAGACATAACGGCCCTAAACCATAACGGCCACAAAATTTGGTCATAACGGCAAAAATATTTGGTCGAAACGGCCAAACAATTTAGTCATAACGGCCAAGAAAATATAAACCATTTTTTACATGCAGGAAATGATATTTATTCACAAAGATATTGCCTAACAGATAATATAAATACATACATTAGCTAAACATTAATTTAATACATGGAAAAAAAAACCGAATGGATTGCTTGTTGTTGTTTATTAAAGATTTAACGTCCAATACAGGTTGGTTTAATTAAATTATTTACACTTGAAAATTGTTAAAAACACAAAAGTCTTTTACTTTTATTACCTAATCACTGATCAGAGGGTGTGAAGTACCTAATTAGGGATTATTCAATCAGTTGATTAATTAGTACTCACCTCTTTCCTTTGTCTGACGAATGAATTGTTATTTTTGTCAAATGATAAAAGTCAATTGTTATTTTTATCAAAGATAGGTATAATATTTGATCAGACCACGTATGACAGAATTGAACCACCTTGTTAGCTAATCCAAAATAGATATAATATGCATACAGGAAACGAAATTAGATCCAAAGCAGAAGGACCCAAAACTGACTGGGTTCACTACTTTAGTGTATTAAGTGTAGTTATTCCTGAATTTAATGTTAATATAATATAAAAGATAGGTTGCCAGGCAATGAAACATACGCCCACAGCAGCTAAATCGTCTGGGCGGTCTACAAGAGTTGTCGCATATATTTACTTTTTTCGATAATGAAACATTTTTAATACACTTAAATCTGATTAAGAGTAACAACTCATAAAGTAATTATCAGAAAATCATTAGAATTTGTTTGGTTTTTATAAAGTTCTGCCCCATGCTAACATTTAGTATACAAAACATTTAATATCATGGATTTAGCTGTTTAGTTATCAAAATTCATTGAAAATCAATATACTTGTTCATCTCAAGACCTTAAACTCAGTAAATCAACCTATCCATAATATTATCATACCTAACGTATTGGACGTTAAATCTTTAATAAACAAAAACAATATCTTGTTTTTCATTAAATTAAAATGTTTGGCCGTCAATACCAAATCTTTTGGCCATTATAACCAAACTGTTTGGCCGTTATGACTAAAATAGGGCCGTTATGACTACATCCCATATGGCCTATACTGGAAGTATCTATTATTTTGTTGATACTACGGTGGTGACAGGCACTAGTGTGGAAATGTCAGGCACAACTGTCTGAGTGCCTAACATTTTGTCAGGCACACTATTTTAGGTTATTTTCAGGCCTGTAGATGGACGAGAGAGCTAATCATGTCAGTATCATCTGTCGACTTTGAGAATTTTGGTGGTGACATACTAAAAAAAAATCTGACATTCTTCTATCGGCTGTTCAATTTTTCCCACGTGATTTGCTGATAACTGACTTTCGTTCGTTTCTTTCTGGAGTTTAACTAGACGACCAATGTCAAAACTAAACAGTGTTTCTTAAACTACACGGTAGCAGAAACTGGGTGTTTTTTTGATGAATCTTGATGGCATTTAATACTTTCTGGACGGCAATCTATTGTATACGAGTATTAGATTCTAGATGGTAAGCTCAGTTTCAGTTTATTCGTCAAATCTGAATGATACCCAGTCCCTAGTGTCAAGAGACAAAGGATTGGTACTTAATTGATTGATTACTGACTCAGCTAAGCGCAATAGACTGTACTGTAACATGTGTGTACTGCGTGGAAATCAAAGCTTTGTGGCAAATTCAATTTGCAAAAGGTAAAAAAGTTAATTTTAAAATTGAATTCATTCGCCCTGATATCATCCCTCCCAGTGATAGGGTGACCCATTCACTCTACAGAAAGTTGGTCTCGACACAGCTAAATGTGCACGCTTCAGTTGCGTGTCTCAAACTGATTTCTGACTACCCCGCACTCTCTTTGAGTCGATAAATAGCCATGGCACGTGCAATTCTCTACAAATATATCAACTATTACAGCCGTAAAAAATCTATTGTTGACGATTTTGAATAGCAGTAAAATTTAGCTTCTTGGTTATTACAGCAGCTTTAGAAATTACATTTGTTTTATTTTTTAAATTGCTTTATCATTAACTGTACCGTTAAGAGCGGCATCTTTTGGTTTAGTACAAATACTATCTCTGAATCACTTTCTTTAGCAGGAACCAATCTGAACGACAGATTCACCCTACCTGCAGAGAAGTGACTCTGACAGTGAATAGCCATGATATCCATATGACGTTATCTAAACGTCACAGGTCATGAGGTCACATCAACAAAACAAATGTAAACACTATCATTATGATGATCATCAACATTACAAGACACAATGTTACATTGTTAACAATAGCCTTCTTGCAGCCTTTCGGACTGTATAATCCGTACAGAACGTCTTATCGCTTCTTCCAATGATTTTTCACAAAAATAACATCATCTACAACTCTAGATTTGACGTCGGCATATTGGCACTGTTTTGTGCTTCGGTCGTGTCTATTTCAGATATACACAATCAATTCCGTTAATGTTTTTAGCGTGGGGATCGACTAAAAGTTAATTTATTTCAGTTCTAAACAAAAATTTAAAACTTTAACGCAATTTTAAAAAAATAGCCAAATTCTGGCTGGGATTACTGAGCAAAATGGCCATTCACTGCATATGTGCGAAAAAAAAAGCCAGCTACCATTTAATTTTCGTACGTTAGTTACGTACGAGCAGGAACATGATACTAGCAGTAGTTTCATTTTACTTTTACAAGTTTCTTAAAACATTTGTTGAGTAGGCTAAAGTGCTTATTTCTAAATTCAATTTCTTGTTCTAGCTTTCTGTTATGTTTCGTAAAAAAGTAGTCTTGATTATCCCGACCTGTCAATCAGACGTAGAATGGTCGATAGGCTTGTTAAGCGAGACTAATTTCAAAACAAGGGCACATAACCTATCTTTTACTCAAAAGTGTCTGGATGTTATGGAAAACACTTGGAACCAGTTTTCAGTCTATTATTTATAGATGATTAATGGTCATAGCTTATTAAGTACAACATGATCGTTTATTTAGTGACTATAATTGTGTGAAACTGATTTGAGGCTTGGCATATATATAAATATTGTGGCGTAATTGTCGAGATATTTGGAGATATTTATTTATGGTGGGTCACCCTACCAGTGATAGTAACGTCCATGCGAATATTTACGGTTGGTTGATAAGTTTGGGTCCAATAATTCAACTCACCATTACGATGTCATCACCGTTAATTGTTGATGTTTACATCTGACCTCTATAGATCATACAAATTGATATAACGTATCAAAATAAGACTAGTTGTGTTGGGAGATCGGACAAAGAAAACTGCCTTTCTTCGCTATCCCATGTTCATTTCCGGAACAACTTTGGGATAGTTGTATATTAAAATATGATGTGAATCTATCCAACACGAATAACTCATAATGTTTGAATCGTGACAACATAAGACTATTTCGTGTACACATGACGGGGCATTGAAGCAGTTATATTTATATCTGAAGAAACTCATTATGTCTGCAGGATTAGATCTATTATTACTTTTCGTCACGTGTGCTATCAAGTTTCTAACATTATGAGTTATTCGTATTGTATAGATCCACATCTTATTTTATTATACAACTATCCCAAAGTTGTTCCGGAAATGAAAAAGGGATAGAGAAGAAAGTCGGTTTTCTTTGTGCGATCTCACTAAACGAGTATTCTTTTTTATTTGATAAGTTATATTAACTTGTATGATATATAGAACTGAGTTGTAAACACCAACAATTAACGGGGATGACATCATAATGGTGAGTTGAAGTATTATTGGACCCAAACTTATCAACCAATCGTAAATATTCGCATGGCCGCTACTACTGTCTGAACCGTGGTAAATTTTAAACGGATTTCTTCGATTATGAACAAACTACTTAACTTTGGATATTATAAACTTACCTGTGTGTTTGAAATCCACTCACGTTAAAAAAAATCCATTGCACAATTTAATATCCCAACGAATAAAAAATTTCTCTCTTGAAAAATTGAAATATCACAAACTTTGGCAAAGAAAAATACCAATATGGAAGCTGGTTATGTCACTCTGCGGGAGATATCATTTCGTATTAGGGGTGACAGCATAGGAAATCGAAACGCTTTTTGGTACTTTTACGACAATTTAAGTACAATTACAACAATTGGCATTGAGTTTGAGCATTTGCACACATAACTACCCGCATTCCTTTATTTTGTTACCGTCTTTTACATTCTAGTAAAATCTCTGCAAATTTTATAGCTTTACCTTTTGAAATATTTTGTTTTAATTATTTGATTAGTGACTACATGTATGATGGGATGATTTTCTTTTGAACACGCATGCGACACAAAAACAACTACATTCGTTTTACGGGCCTTATCACACTGTCGAATCGGGAATTAATGTTCAACTTCTTACGGGCTTATTAGCATTATATACCCACCCAATAGGCACTTTGAGGGCTGCCGCAACACGCTTAAAGATGTTACTGAAGCGGTTATTAGTTGATCGAAAGAATGCTATCAAATTAACAATACACTCGGAGACTTCGGAGGTAAGCTTCATGATCCTTGTAAAATTATTTATAACATAAAAAAGATAGGATATTGTTAGTTTATATATGACTTTATTTTTATGAGTATCCGATTGTGAATAAAATTTGATAGACTGGTGATCAATGGTTTCAATATAAATCTCCTATGTAATTGCCTTCAATTGATATTTTTCGTCGCCCAAACTCATACGATTGAAATGATCGCGCTTTGTTTTGATTACATCACAGGGTTGCTAAACTATCTATTAATGTTAACCCACCCCCGCCATGGGTATATTGGATTCGTCCAACGCGTGACGAAAGCATTGTTGTCATCCACTTTGTTGAAATTACAAGTAAATAGTCAAATTTTTCAAGAGAGAACTTTTTTATTCGTTGGGATAATTAGTTGTGCAATAGATTTTATTTAACAGGAGTTGATTTCAAACACACAGGTAAGTTTATAATAACCAAAGTTAAGTAGTTTGTTCATAATCGTAGAAATCCGTTTAAAATTTACGATGGTTCAGACAGTAGATAACAAACCTTATCTCTCCAGTCTCTATGTTTTGAGATGAGAGTTGGTCCTATTAACTTCAACGTACCATAGCGGGAGTGGATCACTCCCGCTATTTTTAAACAAAATTGACAATATTTTTTATCAAAACGACGATTGATTATTGTTATTTATAATATTTCTGCCAGACCCAACTACAATTAAGCATATAATCCTACCTGAAATGGGTACAAATCATTAAAAGAAGTCATTCAGCAGACCTCAGTTAACTCTGATTCCAAACAACCCTGCAATGAATGTTCTACGCACTCTTCGAACGACGCCATTTTGAGAAGGTTTTCTAAAAGCGGGTAGCCGCATCACAATTGAAGGGATGTAGCTACATATTATCATTGACCGTATTTACGACCCATGATATCACTTACCGTCGCACAGTCGATGATAGATGTAGGGTACTAGATGTGGTCCTGATGTCAAGGTTTTCCGAATGAAAAGAAGCGTGCAGTATGGCTTTTCCAAATCCGATACAAACGACGCTTCATTAATTGAAACGCGAATATTTGGAATAAGGCGATAGTTGTGTCACTATATTGGCCCCTGTAAGTTTAGCAAGTCATAATAGTATAAAATTATTTTATTTTTAAGATGTTACATTTATTAATCAAAAATTTGAGTTTGCCACGTCAAACTGAAGGCTCCCAATTGTAGCTAAAAACAAACACATCAGTATATCTCAACGTTTTTAGTGAGGGATGACATCAGAGTGAATGAATTAGGTTTCAAAATTATCTTTTTTACCTTTTACGAATTAAATTCTAAAACAATTTTTTATTTAATTAAGAAAATAGTTAAATGTTGGAAGTAGCCTATATCTGGATAAACAAATATTGCCTATTTATAGGTAAGTCAATGATACGGTGTACCGCTGGCGTAATTTATGTATGTCGATTTTTGGGACAGATACCATATGGTAAATAATATATTGATTTGACAATATATATATTCAACTTTAATTCTGTGACTTCTCAATGAAATCAGTAGGTACAGAGCCAAAATATGAAGTGCAGAAAATTTTTGATCCAGTCTCGAAGTGACCTCCATGTAAGAAAGTTAGTGTGGAATTTTACTGCTCGCAACTGCGCACGATGGCCTCACTTTCCATTCATTGTTCTTCAGACGAAAGGGGCGTTATTTAGCGACAATTAATTAGGCATAACTCCATTAATACAGGGCCTATTAAGCTCAGGGCCTATCCAGAAATAACAGAATTAAAGCCATACGGGATAGTTGAATTTTTTTGTTGTCATCCCTATTATTTAGTGTAAATGGGCACATATTATACTGCACAAAGGCATAAAAATTACAGGAAACTGATGATGTTATAACCAGCGCTCACGAAGTCGATCGCCACTTGCGCCAATTACGATAAAAATATAATTTTGGCGATAAAATATTCAATCTGGCTAAATTTTTTGGCGATAACTTTTCCTGTATGGCGATTCTTTTTAAACCGTGGCGATAAATTATTTGTGCCACAAAATTTGATTTCCAAACGTGCACACACGTTACAGTCTATTGCGCTTGGCTGAGTCAGTTATCAATCAATGAGACACCAATCCTTTGTCTCTTGATCAATCTCGGATTAGTGTTGATTAGTATTTACAGTAAGAGTAGTAATAAACTAATTAAGAGACAAAAGATTTAATTATTTGTCTTCAAATACGATTCGGTGGGTTTTTTTGACAATTTCTATATATTCAAAATGGCGGACATTGTGAATAATACTCGTTCGATTTGTTTGGGATTATTGGATTATGACGTCTGTTTTATCTTTTTCTTACTCCTGTTGCCCATACAGCTAATAAATCAAGCCAGGTTTGTTGTTACAGAAACGAACAAACGAAAGTCAGTTATCAGCAAATCCCATGCGAAAAAAATAGATAACGTAAATAACATGAATTTTAGGCCTAGCCCCATTCATCATTACTAAAGGAAGATTTAGCTCTTGCATAATGTATGTTTAAATGCATTTGAAAAAGTTAGATCTTTTAAGGATGAATGGAAATTTTCAAATCCTTGTGATATCAGTAAGTGCTTGCTTACAATTCCTGTGGCAACTGCAGACTGTGGAAGAGGGTTTAGTTAATAAAATATTATAAAAAACCCAAATATTCATTAAGAATAAACACTCTGTGTAATTTAATGTTACTTAAAGTGGTTAACCCAGATGTTGAAAAAGCTTTCAAAAAAATGGGCATCTGCAAAGCAGAGAAGAATTTTGTAAATTTTAATATCATATGTATATTGTATGTACTTATGTAAATAAAAATTACTGAAAAAATCTGATAGATATATGTTCTTTTTGGGGGGGGGGGGAATTATATGGCTAATAAATTAAAATGAAAAATTGGCGGAAAAATAATGAAACCCAAAGTGAGCATTGGTTATAACTTTTATATATTACAGGAAACTAATAATGTAACTTTTATATATTACAGGAAGCTAATGATGTAACTTTTATATATTACAGGAAGCTAATGATATAACTTTTATATATTACCGGAAGCTAATGATGTAACTTTTATATATTACAGGAAACTAATGATGTTATAACTTTTATATATTACAGAGAACTAATGTTGTTATAACTTTTATATATTACAGGAAACTAATGGTGTTATAACATTTCATCAATGTACAATATGTGATGAAATTTTTCAACATTTGTATGATTTAGAAAAGCACTACAAAGTGCATGTTAAAAAAGAGAAAACTGCTGATGTAGATGAATATTGTCATGTTAAAGAAGAGAAAACTGATGATGTAGATGAATATTGTTATGTTCGTTTCAAAGAAGAAAAAACTAATGATGTAGATGAATATTGTCATGTTAAAGAAGAGATATCTGATGATGTAGATGAATATTGTCATGTTAAAGAAGAGAAAACTGATGATATGGAAACTGTTTATCAGTGTAATTTGTGTGATGAAGAATTTAGATTAGAAACTGATTTAGAAAAACACTGCGAAAAACATGTTGAAGAAGAGGAATCTGGTTTACAACATGGTAAACATTGGGAGAAAACTTTTAGCCAGAACAATGAAAAAGAAATACTCAATTCACAAGAGTTTAAAAAGTGTGATGTTTGTAGCAAATCATTTACTAACAAATATTACCTTAAAATTCATTTGAGGAATCATTCAGGCGCAAAACCTCATAAATGTGATGTTTGTAGTAAATCATTCATATACACCAGTCAACTTCAGAGACATATAAAAATTCATACTGGTGTCAAACCCTTTACATGTTATGTTTGTAGTAAATCATGTACTAACAGTAGCGATCTACAGAGACATTTCAGAATTCATACAGGCGAAAAGCCATTTAAGTGTGATGTTTGTAGTAAATCATTTACTAGAAATAATCATCTTCAGAAACATATGGGAATTCATACTGGTGAAAGGCCTTTTACATGCGATATTTGTAGTAAATCATTTACTAACAGGAATCATCTAAAAAGACATATGAGAATTCATACTGGTGAAAAACCTTATAAATGTGATGTTTGTAGTAAATCATCTAGTAACCGTAGCGATCTACAGAAACATATGAGAACTCATAGTGGGGAAAAACCATATACATGTGATGTTTGTCGTAAATCATTTACTGGTGAAAAGCTTTTTACGTGTGATATTTGTAGTAAATCATTCACTGAGAGCAGTACCTTTTATAGACATATCAGAAGTCATACTGGTGAAAAATTGTTTACATGCGATGTTTGTAATAAATCATTTGCTGATAATAGTTCTATGCGGCATCACATGAGAATTCATACTGGTGAAAAACCTTTTAGATGTAATGTTTGTGGTACATCATTCACCTGGAGAAATTCACTGAAAAGACACATGGAAATGCATCTAAACAAACCATAATAAATTTACGATTTAAATACATATGGAGTAGTTTGTTGAAAAGACAGATGAGAATACATCCAGACGATTAATGTGATGTTTGTTGTAAATCATTCACTAGGAGTAGTTTGTTGAAAAGACACATGAGAATACATCCAGACGAAAAAGCATAATAAATATACGGTGTAGTTAGAAATATTGTCTTCAGTAAAACCAGAAATTACATTGTAAATGATAAAAATAAAACTTTTATAAAATCTCAAGTTTTAAGATTGTATGTATGTAGTTTGAATCTGACTGTCTGTGGTAAAGGTGCTGTGATACAAGATTATATAAGACATGCTGTAGACATCTGTGTTGTAATTCATGCTATGTATTGTTGTAATCATCAAATAGATACATTGAGTGTGATTGTTTTTTTATTGCTACATCTGGTTGGAACAAGGGAAGATCAGCAAGATAATAATAATAATAATAGTATTCTGTTGTTTTTGGAGCTTAAACAATATGGCTTGGGTAACACCTGCTAGTAAACTGTTACAGTAGTCAAATTTTGATAGGACAAGAGATTGAAGTAATGATTTTGTGATATTGACACAGACATTTCCTTGAACACTTTCCAGGGCACTTTTTCAGAAGGAAAGGCACACCGATCCCCTATATACAGGTTGAAAATCAATCAATCATTTCTGGGTTTTTTTCTTCTATTGCCTCTGGCTACTGCACTCATTATAAAGTAAATCTGATCAGACATGGACTAAATGACTTGTGAAATCTTGTTGAAACGCTGCAGTGAAGTAAATCACGGCTTCTATAAATGTCTATTTCAGTACTGGCTGTAGAATTTTATACTTACATAGTGGAGGTTGATCATAGCTTATATATGTGTGGATTTCAGTACTGGCTTTACAATTTCATAGTTATATTGCAGAGGCATATATGGCTGATGTAGAACCCATGCTACATAAACATGGACCAGTAAGACCGTATATGATTATGACAAAGTTTTAGACTTGCCCCACCAAAATTGGGAGAGTGCCATTATTATGAATTTTCCCTCCAAAATTGGGGGTTGGATGGCTGAATGGTTAGCGTGCGCGCGCTGTATCATAAAGTCTGTCATTGAGTCGACTGCCGTGGTTTCGAATCCCCGGTTGTACGTGGCAAGGAGTAGGGTCGTCTGTCCAACCTCGTGGGTTTTCTTCGGGTCCTCCAGTTTCCTCCCACTGCTAAAGACCCCTACGCGCAGGCGAAGTATTGAAATAAAATTAAACCATATGTTGGTCCCGAAATGACCTAGTTTGTGTCGAGTGGACGTTAAACCCCATTTATCTTTATCTCCCTCCAAAATTGTAATTTTGTAAAGTTTCAGAACGATATAAAAAATACACACCACTGACAATAATAAATCAAACTTCATAGTTACTGAATTAGACCATGGTTACCACAAACTAGACCATAGTTATCACATATTAGACCATAGTTACCACGTATTGGACCATAGTTACCAAATATTAGGCCATTTGTTACTGAACAACTTTGGTGTAAATAGACTAGCCCTTTAAGGCTTCCAGGCATACCTTGAAAACCATACACACCTTGAAAACCATACACACGGTTGTACCTATCCAACCGAACCCCCCAAATGTACCGGAAAGACCCCTTCATGCAGGTGTGCTAAGATTATAAAAACAAGAGCAACGCTACTAATGCAATATACGCCTACATTATTGCTTTGATTGATATGGTACTGTTACGGTCCAGGCGATTCCAGTCTTTCGCGCGTCGTTTCCGACTGAGAGTGTCAAAAAATGAGACCAGCTCCCTTGTAGAGTTCACGCCCGAAACACATTTATATAACAATGTCATACATTACCATGTATCACAATATAATGCCCGATATCCATCTTGTCCTTTTCACATAATTATATTTATAACATTCCCGTTAGGCCGATGAATCGACACAAATCAGTTAGCGAAACAAGCGACATCAAACAGCCGGCGGCCATGACACTTTGGCGCGGTCAAGGCTATAACGTCGTCATTGTTAGTAACGCTCGCATTGATTGGTCGACAACTGACGTCATCGGAATCCCCTTATAAATAGAAGCAGACGACAAGGAAATCCTCAGTGTGCACTCGGGAAAGCCCCTTACGTAATTGGCAGCAATCCAGCTATTTTAAATTGGAGATGGATCACCAAAAATGGGTAAGGAATTAATATCCTAGTTTTGGCTGTGGTAATTTATCCATAACTGGTCTCCTATTTAAAGACTCATAGGTTGGTTTAACCTTGACTGGCTTGATCCAAGATAGGCCTAGATAGTTGTGGTTCACCCATTCCCAAGGCCAAGTCTTAACAATTCCTTATGTCACCAAATCTCCGATTTAATCCCGTCATATCCACCGGCCTGACAGGGCAAATGTATTTATTTACCTAATTCCTGTTTCCATACCTGGGAATTTATCCAAAGGGTTGGCGTCTCACCCAAATTATCTCCCCTTAATGCGATGTATCCCAATTATAAATTGATCCAAATAAAGATGTTTATTTTTATCTACACCCGAGTTTGTTAGTTCTTTCGATTGAAGTGCTAGGCTGGAACGAACCCCTAAAAAGTCTCTAATAAATGTTGAGACGCTACATTGGTGTCAGAAGTGGGATTCAAATTAAATTGATTTTATTGAAACTTATTCCAGTGTCTAGTGGATCGGAAGTTCTAATAAACACAAACTCCAAATAAATAAATGAATTAGGTTCCTTTATTAATATTAATAATAGTAGTAATAGATTCTAAATACATCTATAAAAATGGCCACCAAATCCTTGTCCCCAGAGTTCGAAATTATCCCAGACACTGATCCGGATATGCCCTCGGTAGAATCAGTTGATGGTGATGTCTCAGGAACTGAAATAGAAAATCAGAATATGGGTGACGATGGAATTCTTAAAGAAATTAGCCGACAATTTAATCTATTCTTCCTGGAAAATGCTCAGGTTCAAAATGATTTTTTAGACAATTTAAAGGAATTAAAGGAGGATGTTAGATTACTAAAAGACCATGTTAATAAATTGGATGAAAAAGTAAATGATCCAAATCCTGCCACATTTTACTCAAATGGAAATGGAGATGCTCAAAACAGAAGCACACCAAGCCATAATCAAAATTCTAATCATACCTCAATCCAAGCACATGTTCCCACCAGTCCTAGAATTAATAACCCCCTTAGGATCAAACCACAATCATATGATGGAAGTGAAGATTTTGAGGAATATATCTCCCAATTTGATATAATAGCCACATTGAACAAGTGGAGCTACGAAGAAAAATCCCTTTACCTAGCCAGTAGTTTGTCTGGAAACGCCAGGACAATCTTGTCAGAATTAAATACTATCCAGAGAACGGATTTCCATACCCTCACAACCCTCCTAAGTATTCGTTTTGGATCAACGGAAAAATCTGAAATATTTAGAGCTAAATTACAAACTCGTATTAGAGGAAGAAACGAATCCTTATCTGAGCTGGCTCAATCCATTCGCAAACTAACGAGACAGGCCTACCCCACAGCAGATGCATCTCTCACCAATATTTTAGCCTTAGAACATTTTATAGACTCCATACCAGACTCAGAAATGAGATTACGAATTAGGGAACTAAGACCCAAGGATATCAATGAGGCTGAGATACATTCTATTAGACTCGAAGCCCACAGACTGACAGATAAACAAAGAGGACGTTCAGTTCATTCTGTAGATCTAAATCATAATATAAACCAGGTCGGAGCTGGAGCTGTAAAATCTGATGATATGGGTCAAAGCAAAATTGATATACTTACCTTGAATGGTTCAATCACATCATTGGATAAAACTACCAAACACTTGATAAATACCCTAAATAAGGGACAACCATTGCAGCAATCATCACGTAGCTCCTGGAATAAAAATCCCAATTACAGTCGGAGTCATTGGCCAAATAACCAACAACATACAAACTCTAATAATAATTATGGCGGGTATCAATATAACTCCAATAGGAGAACAGATAGGCCCCAGCATATGGCAAACACAAGAAATGGATGGTCTCGTCCACCATATAATTGGAATCAACCTAATCATCAAAACCCTGATGAGGAGTCACAATCCAAACCAAGGGAGACAACCTATAATCCCCATTTACAGAGGGAAAGGGATCTCCAAAACCAGGAAAACTAAATGTTGCTGAACTCGAGGGTCAGAATTCAGCAGAAATTGAAAATAACAAAGGGCCCAATAATGTAACAATAAGTAATATTAATGATGATAAACATGGATTTTTTATTAATGCAAATATAATGGGGAAATTTATATCCTTACTTGTAGACACTGGAGCTAATGTGTCTATACTTAGTACGCAATTTATGAAAACATTAGGGGCTTTGGATGAATTAAATATAAAGCCTGTTAATCTTAACCTGGTAACTGCCACTGGCGAAAAGAAACCGTTCCATGGTAAATGCTGGATCGATATAACCCTTGGTACTCATAGGATAAAACATGAGTTTTTAATAGCTGATATTACACAGCAAGGAATTATTGGCATTGACCTACTTACTTCCAATTCAATAAATATATTTCTCGACAGGAATTGCCTGAATATTAAAGGAGATGATCTACCATGCTATAGATTTCAAAGTTCTATGGAGCAAACTTGCAGTAGGATTTGCATGAATGAGGATATTACTATACCCGCTAATAGTGAGACTTTTGTCTTTGGGATCTTAATGGATCCGATACCTAGAAGTGGTGTCGCAATTGTCGAACCTACTGAGAATTTTCTGGAAAAGACAGAACTGTTCATGGCAAAAAGTGTTGTTAACCCTAGCTCGGGGTCTGTGCCCGTACGTTTAATGAACGCTACCAACACAGAAATAAGAGTCCGAAAAAACACAATTATTGCCCGTATTGACACAGTTCAGCTTGTCTCAGAAATGAAAAGTAATATTCCCATTAATGAAATAGACACTAATCAATCTCCTACATTGGATTCAGACATCCTTCCTGATTATTTGATGGAAGCTTATAATAATTCAATAGATGAATTAACTGAGAACGAGCAACGTTCATTCAAATCCCTTTTGTTAAAATACAAACATACCTTTTCCAAAGATTCATCTGATATAGGCATCACCAATGAAGCTGAGCATTGGATTAATACTGGTTGTGCTCCACCAATTCGTCAGCATCCTCGTCGCGTCCCCCTGGCAAGCAGAAAAGAGGTTGAATTGGAAATAGAAGGATGGCACAGAAAAATATAATAGAAAAATCTGATAGTCCTTGGTGTTCTCCTGTCGTTTTAGTTAAAAAGAAAGACAATACACTACGGTTCTGTATTGATTACAGACGTCTAAATGATGTCACCATAAAAGATAGTCATCCATTACCTCGGATTGACACTACTCTTGATGCCTTGTCTGGTTTCTCTTGGTTCTCAACGATTGACTTGAGATCGGGATATTGGCAAGTCAAGATTGCCGAACAAGATAGGCCCAAAACTGCCTTTTCTGTACCCGGATGTGGACTGTGGCAGTTCAAAAACATGGCATTCGGATTGTGCAACTCGCCGGCCACGTTCGAAAGACTGATGGAGAAGGTCTTAGCTAACTTATCATGGGAAATATGTATGGTGTACCTGGATGATATCATTATCTTTGCAAAATCCTTTGACGAGCACTTATCCAATTTAGAAAAAGTCTTCCAGAGGCTCCAACAAGCAAACCTGAAAATGAATTCAAAGAAATGTTTTATGTTTAAAAAACAAGTATCATTCTTGGGTCATATAATTAATCAGGATGGAATTACCACTGAATCATCTAAAACAGACGCAGTACGCAATTGGCCTATTCCTCAAAGTGTTAAAGAGGTCAGACAATTCCTTGGGCTATGCTCATACTATAGGAAATTTGTCAGTAAGTTTGCAGATATAGCTAAACCCCTTCATAAACTAACAGAGATAAGAACTAAATTCCAATGGTCCGATGAATGCCAATCTGCCTTCGATAATCTCAAAGAAGCTTTAACCAGTCCGCCTATACTTGCATTCCCTAAATTAGAAGGTCATTTTATTTTGGACACTGACGCATCCAATAATGGTTTAGGTGCTGTGCTCTCACAAACACAAGATGGTGTAGAAAGAGTGATAAGTTACTATAGTAAAGCTTTTAGTAGAACGGAGAGGAAATATTGTGTAACCAGAAGAGAATTACTAGCAATTATAAGTTCAGTGAAACAATTCCACCATTATCTCTATGGTCAACCGTTTACAGTCAGAAGTGACCACGGTGCATTAACATGGCTTATAAATTTTAAAAATCCTGAAGGACAACTTGCTAGATGGTTTGAGTTCCTGTCTTCCTACCAATTCACCATTCAGTACAGGGCAGGACGAGTACACAATAATGCAGATGCACTATCTCGACGACCATGCATAGTTGACTGTCTCCACTGTACCAAAGCGGAACAGAGATACGAGCATAGTATTATCGAAGATCCACGTACCTCCAATGAAAACCTTAATGTTTTGGCTTGCACAAGTGCTCCAATAGACCAATTAAACAAAAATCCATTATCTTCCTCTTCCCTTCCTGAAAATATAAATAAAGAAATAAATATATATGACGACAAATTAATAATCAACCTACAGTTGGGAGACCCTACACTCCATGAAATAATCCAGTGGGTTAAGCATAACGATAAACCTTCGTGGCCAAACATATCGGACAGAGATCAGCGAACCAAATACTATTGGATGCGGTTCGAATCCCTTTTAATTGATCACGATCGGTTATGCTATATCTGGGATAAGGGGAAAGGCCAAGATCCAGCCATCTTAATTATTCTCCCTCATATCCTGAGAAATTCTGCATGGTCCCAACTTCATGAACACAGAACAGGGGGTCAGTTAGGCTATAAAAAAACATTATCTATGATCAAAAACCGATACTTTTGGTATCAAATGCATAATGACATAAGGAAATGGTGTGAGACTTGTGATATTTGTGCTTCTCGCAAATCCCCTGCCAAGGTAGCCAAAGGCCCTTTAAAAACCTACAACGTGGGTTTACCTATGGAAAGATGGGCTATAGATGTCCTGGGTACATTACCGGAAACAAAGCATCGAAATAAATACCTACTAGTGGCAGCCGATTATTTCTCTAAATGGGTTGAGGCTATGCCAATACCTGATCAAAGAGCTATAACAATAGCCCAAACCTTTATTGACCGAATTGTAACAATTTTTGGTACCCCCATGCAAATCCATTCCGATCAAGGACCAAGCTTTGAGTCTGAGGTGTTCCAAGAAATGTGTAAAATTTTAGATATTGAGAAAACTCGAACCACCCCCTATAGACCCCAATCCGATGGAATGGTTGAGAGGGCCAATCGTACCATAAGTGCCATGTTGTCAGCATTTGTAAATATTAATAAAAATGATTGGGATGATAACATATACTTACCCATGTCAGCGTGTCCTTCTGCAGAACACGAATCACTGGGCGTTTCTCCATGTGAAATGGTCTTCGGCCGCAACATCCGTCTTCCAGTAGATCTCATTCTCGGATCAGTGGAACCTACAAATTTAAAAATAAAGTCAGACTATGCTTTTGACTTACAAAATAAAATAGAACGAATACATAGTTTTGCTAGAGGGCGTTTAAAACAAGCCACGGCAACCATGAAAGTTGATCACGATAGATCTATTCAATTAAATCCATACAATGCCGGCAGTCCTGTATGGTATTATAACCACAAATACAAAGGTGGAGGTTCAAAGTTAAGGTGTCCATGGGAGGGACCCTACCTGGTGACAAAATGTCTTAATAATGTAGTCTATAAAATACAAAAATCCCCAAAGACCCAACCTAAACTGGTCCACCATAATCATCTGAAACCGTATACGGGAAATAATATACCCAATTGGTTAAAGATGTCATAAATTATCAACTCTTTATTTTTTTTTTTTTTTTTATAGAACATACGGTATGGGTGTAAACTATGTATGAACGCAGAATTCGCCAAATATCAGTATGCGGAGAGGCACGTCACTTCATGTCATAGTAACTTTGGCTATCAGTGCACGCACTGTTTTGGACTGGCCGCGAGAGCAGACGTAAAACATCCAAAATGTCCTGGAACTGCCAGGATGAAACTGATCAATAAAGCAACCATGACCTTCAATCAAAACGCCGAGGATGAATATAAAGCTTTCTGTGGAAGGAGAAGGGCATTAATAATTACACGACAATCTTTACCTACAGATAAGCATCCACAAGCCCCGTTTCGAAAGCGTACGATACCAGAAAACCATACAATGGGATGAAGCACCTGAAACTATCGATTGACCCGCCTGCCCCACCTATTCAGTCAAATAAAAATTATATTCATCCTAAAGTAACATTACCAGTTCCTACAATACCCAAAATTTCATTAAAGAAGATACCCGATACCGTACAGAAGACATCAGCTGCATCAGACAAGACATCGGTTCCTTTACAGAAAAAACCAATTTCGTCAGAAAAAACACCAGTGTTGTCAGAGAAATCACCAATTTCACCAGAGAAGACGAAGACACCAGTTTCCATAATCCAAGATCTACTTTTATCATCAATATCGTCATCGTCGTCATCATCATCCTTATCATCATCATTGTCATCCGTGTCGAAATCTAATAATAATTGTAACAATAATAGTAATACAATTAACCCAGCCATTCCTGGGGCTGTTGCCTTACACCCCCACAGTAGCGAACTCCAATCCCCCACGTACATCCCTACGAACAGAATAACCTTAAAACTGAAATCCTTTCAAACCGCCCAGGACAACCGTATTGCGTTAAATGTTGGAGGTACCCTATTTTACACAAGCAATTTCATTTTAAGCAAAGACCCATCCTGTATCCTGGCCAAGATGATAACCCCTGACTCCCCTTTCCAACCCTACAAACAAGACAACTATTATAGTTATTATTTTTTAGACCGTAGCCCTGATCATTTCCCCATTATCTTAGAGTACCTTCGAAATTTAAACTCCCCCATATCTTTTAAACATTTGTTACCTATCCAAGGTCTTAAACACGCTGCCATAATCCAGGAAGCGAAATTCTATGAACTAGATGCCTTACTAGAAGTCACTAAAGAGAAAATGAGCGAATATTAATGTATTATACCTGTTATTAAAATCTTGTTATAAAATTATGTTAATTCCATATTATAATATTAATGCTCTTATCATTGTGAATTTTGTTATCATTATAATAATATAAACATATCTAATTCAAAATTGTAATTAACTTAAATGTAATTTTCAAGTGAGGATGTTAAACTTTAACATATATGAAATTGTATATACTATTTTTACTCAATATTATTACCCCGTATATTAATATTAATGTTTATAATATAATATTATATTGAGCCACTCACCTGTATTAAAATAAAAATTAATCTTGTGGCAATAATATCCACGTTTACCACTGCAGAAGTGAGTTGTTCTTTCCTTATTTCCAGTCATCACATGGAAGATAACATTGGCAAAGTCAATCACGTCAGAGTCAGTGTGTGTTGGATAACCGTTTTAGCGTTCGGGACGAACTTCTCCGAGGAAGGGGGCAATGTTACGGTCCAGGCGATTCCAGTCTTTCGCACGTCGTTTCCGACTGAGAGTGTCAAAAAATGAGACCAGCTCCCTTGTAGAGTTCACGCCCGAAACACATTTATATAACAATGTCATACATTACCATGTATCACAATATAATGCCCGATATCCATCTTGTCCTTTTCACATAATTATATTTATAACATTCCCGTTAGGCCGATGAATCGACACAAATCAGTTAGCGAAACAAGCGACATCAAACAGCCGGCGGCCATGACACTTTGGCGCGGTCAAGGCTATAACGTCGTCATTGTTAGTAACGCTCGCATTGATTGGTCGACAACTGACGTCATCGGAATCCCCTTATAAATAGAAGCAGACGACAAGGAAATCCTCAGTGGACACTTGGTGCACTCGGGAAAGCTCCTTACGTAATTGGCAGCAATCCAGCTATTTTAAATTGGAGATGGATCACCAAAAATGGGTAAGGAATTAATATCCTAGCTTTGGCTGTGGTAATTTATCCATAACTGGTCTCCTATTTAAAGACTCATAGGTTGGTTTAACCTTGACTCGTTCTAATACACATTTTTAAGATTATATCGTGGTTTGTGAATCAGCCTTTACTAATAAAAACAAAGAGAGTTTAATGTCCACTCGACTCAAACTAGGTCATTTCTAGGTCATTGGTTCAATTTTATTTCAATAATTCGCTTGCTCGTAGGGGTCTTTAGCAGTGGGAGGAAACTGGAGGACCCGGAGAAAACCCACGAGATTGGACAGGCACCCCTACTCAATAAAAACAAGAGCAAGGCTACCAATACAATGTACCACTGCTTTGATTGATATGGTGCCTTTTAAAGTCTTGAAAACCAAGAAAAAATGGGCATGGCTCTGTCCCTGGGGGTTGGGCAAGCACCAAAAACAATAATGGTGATCCCAAGGGTATAAGGAATAAGTATCCAAAGTTTCAAGACAACCTGTTATGAAATGGGGCTTGTAGACAACAAATGTTGCGACACTGTCCCTGCTGGTTGGGAATGCACCAAAAACTATAGGTATTACCTTTAGGGTATAAGGAATAAGTTTGCAAAGTTCCAAGAGGATTAAGACTATATACAGACAGCATAATACATACACATAATGTGGACATTTTTACTCTGTGTCTGATGCTGTCCAGCTTGTAACATTATGAGTTATTCGTGTTGGGTAGATCCACGTCTTTTTTCATTATACAATTATCCCAAAGTTGTTCCGGAAATGAACATGGGATAGCGAAGAAAGGATATCCGCCGTCTGGTTTACACACGTTATATCAATTTGAATGATCTATGAAAACATCAACACTTAATGAAAACATGGTGAGTTGAATTATTGGACGCAAACCTATCAACCGTCAATATTCGCATGGCTACTATCACAGGGAGGGATAACATCATAATGCTGAGTTGAATTATTGGAAAAAATTTATCAACCTTAAAATAGGGTGACCCTAATCCAACAAGTTAGATGTTACTCTTTGATATTCTGAGGACGTAACATCTAACATCCGAACGGTCAAAACCTCGTCGCAAAAGTTGATAACTAGTTTACTTCTTTCAGCGGACGGCAAAATTCACAATTTTCAGTTATCTGCACTGCTAACACATTAAACTTGCATATCATATCCATCTATGTTCCGAAAAATATTTTTTGCTGTCTATTTTAAGAGATTTCACAAAAATCTTCGCCTACACACAACAAAACACAGTGAAACAGGAAATGACCTACATTGGTCAAAGTTGAAATCTGGCATGGTGCATATTACGAACATAATTCTTTAAACGAAACGAAATCATGAGACTATAATTTGAAGGCGATCATTTTAAATTTATTTTTAGTGATGGTCCGATTATCGGTTTCACTATTCAGTGGCTTATCAGAAGAAATTTTACCGATATTTGCGTAGCCGATATCTGTTCAAAATGACTCGGCAGCCAATAAATCTTTTCATAAAATATTATTCAAATTGTGAACAAAGCATTCTTTCTAGTCTCTTACTTAAAATGGCACTCGGCCCTTTTATTTTAGTTGCCGTGTGTGTGATACAAGACTCAATGCTTTATTATAGATATTTTCAACGATAGAAAAAGCGGGAAAATGTCACGTGACATTGACAAGACTAAAGCTATCGTAATCAACCGGTAGCGATGAAACATTCTACGAACGCCGACAAATTTAAGGATTTATATTGTAATGAACATTTAATAACATTTTATAAATAATAATCTCAAGCATACCACCTATGCTAAAATTTACCACGGCATAACGGCAAAACTGTCGTAAAAAGTAAAAGCTGAAGCAAACACGGACTGCCACGGTATTAAAAATAGCTCAAATTGCGCCGTTTTCCACGTGTACACAAATCAAAAAGTTATGCCTTTTATATACATGTAGACGTATGAAATGCATAGGTAATAACTTTTCAATATATCATACAGTCGTGCAGGGGCGGCTTGGCTTGGGATTAGGTCAATAATTCAGAAATGCAAGATTTAGTTGTAAATAGTGTCCCAAGCATACCCTTATAGTTCATTTTTTCATAAGAATGCTCACTTTCTAAAATAGTGCCCTTATTATAGAAGGTTATGACATGATGGCAACCATTGGGAACATGAATAACTAAAGGATCGAAAGGAAATTTTTTTCGATGACTTTATTACTCCAAGAGGAATCTGTAAATTTTATACTTATGACAGTACCACCAAACGCAATTAGAACCAGATTAATTGACACGGAAAATCATTGCACGGGCCGTTTGTCTATCTACAAATATAAAAATTGCACGTTCAGTGACGGAAAATGACAACAGTACATAATTTGTTAAATATGAAGAAAGGCAGCCGTGCCTTATAATTGTCAGCTAATTTTTGTTACAGCATTTATAAATTTTTGGTGCCATTGTAGAAGAATCCTCATTTCAAGCACTGGTCATGATCTAGGCATACTACTACTAATTAATCATGCAACAAATAATTGTTAAGTTCTCAATAGACGTTGTGTATTTTCAACTACGTGTGAAGAGCGACCTAATTATTCTTCAACAAACATCGTCTTTTATCCCGATATAAAACTTCTACAAAAACAGTACATATACGCAATCCATAAAAATATTGTACAAAAATGCATTTCGTTTCGCGTAAAACAGGGATCCTCAAATTTTAATGTTGAGGATATGACGTCAAAAAAAGGTCAAACTATCCCAACATGGCGACTGAAAGAAGTGCTGGTGTATGTGATATTGGATAAACCTGTTTCACTGAACGTTTGTTTGTCAGTAAGTGTTATTGTTGTTCAGAGGTGGATAACACAATAAGGTAGGACATGCATTTAGAATTTATCGACTGACGCCTTTCAGCTCGTGGCTATTTGATGCGCCAACAATTCGGTGGCTCATTGCTCTAAGAAAGGACAGCTTAAAGAACCGAGAGGTTACGTGTGAACGAAACCTCGAGGCACCCTGGAGTAAGGGTGACCCGTGCACTCTTACTCTACAGAAAGTTGGTCTCGACACGGCTAAATGTGCACGCCTCAGTTGCGTGTCTCGAACTGATTTCTGACTACCCCGCACTCTCTTTGAGTCAATAAATAGCCATGGCACGTGCAATTCTCTACAAATATATCAACTATTACAGCCGTAAAAAATCTATTGTTGACGATTTTGAATAGCAGTAAAATTTAGCTTCTTGGTTATTACAGCAGCTTTAGAAATTACGTTTGTTTTATTTTTTAAATTGCTTTATCATTAACTGTACCGTTAAGAGCGGTATCTTTTGGTTTAGTACAAATAATATCTCTGAATCACTTTCGTTAGCAGGAACATGATACTAGCAGTAGTTTCATTTTACTTTTACAAGTTTCTTAAAACAATTGTTGAGTTGGCTAAAGTGCTTATTTCTAAATTCAATTTCTTGTTCTAGCTTTCTGTTATGTTTCGTGAAAAAGTAGTCTTGATTATCCCGACTTGTCAATCAGACGTAGAATGGTCGCTAGACTGGTTAAGCGAGACTAATTTCAAAACAAGGGCATGTAACCTATCTTTTACTCAAAAGTGTCTGGATGTTATGGACGACACTTGGAACCAGTTTTCAGTCTATTATTTATAGATGATTAATGGTCATAGCTTATTAAGTACAACATGATCGTTTATTTAGTGACTATAATTGTGTGAAACTGATTTGAGGCTTTGCATATATATAAATATTGTGGTGTAATTGTCGAGATATTTGGAGATATTTATTTATGGTGGGTCACCCTACTTAAAAATATTAACATGGCCACTAATATCACAGGGAGGGATGACATCGAGGCGAATGAATTAGGTTTCAAAATCAACTTTCTTACCTTTTGCAAATTAAATTAAATTCGAAATCAATTTTTTACATTATTAAGAAAAAAGTTAAATGTTGGAAGTAGCCTATATCTGGATAGACAAATATTGCCTATATAGTGTCTTTTCACGTGACGTCACTAAACCAGTGTGACAGTTTGAATACACTCTCGGTGTGTGTTTGCTCCTGGGCACTTACGCATGCCCGAAACTGTAGCTATATCCACTTCCTGTGGTGTGAGTTGATTCCTGATCAATTACTAGCAATTGTGTTGTAATAGTTTAATATCAATCTCAATATCTGCAAAGATTCGAAATGTAAGTGAATTTACCATTTATATACAAGAGACACTCGCAGGTAATATCGCTCTGACATCACGCGACCGGAGATCTTCCATCAATGTGAATTGCTACGGCTCACTTTTTTTATTGGTGAATCGATCCGCGCCTTAGTCAATGTGTATGTCTACTTTTTATCGAAATAAACAAACTCAACACCATCTCCTAATATAGTAATACTGTAAAATTTAATATTGGTAGATAATAATGTAGAAACATATATATTTGACCGTAAGAAAATCTTAGGGGAAATCCTATCACAGGGAGTCAATGCACACTGTATCCATAACGGTATGAGCTGACTCCTACAACTGCGCATGCGCCAAACGGTAATCACACACCAGGAACCATCTCACACTGTCACACTGGAAGTCGGCCATATTGGCGATATCGAATTATATTGTTTACATTGAATACAAAGCCTGGGGCTACGGATTTACATTTGAAAGGATGGTTAACTATTGTCGAGTGGCTGGATGTCACAATAGATCCGACAGAGAGACACAACTGCATTATTATCGACTTCCCAAGGTGACAAAAAAACAAGGGAAAGAATGTGAAACTTTGTCGGGCGAGCGAAGACGACTTTGGTTGGCAAGCCTTCAACAGAATTACCTCGGTAAAAATTTGGAAAATATTCAGGTATGCTCGGCACATTTTATTGCAGCTCTCGCTTTTAGATTTGTTAGTCGGTCTATAAACACTTCACAACAGTCAATGATAGCTACACATTTTGTTCCAAAGTGTTTTCTAAATTGCATAGGCCTAGTTTTACGCAGAGTATCTCGTAATGGCCAAACTACAAGTGGCTTCATCTTCACATACATAACATCAATAACATCAACCAACACCCTGGACACTGTTGAAAGTGAAACATTGAATTCATATGTTAAAAAAGATGCAGTAACATCTCATGAGTGTTAAAATCAACATTTCAAATTTGGTAAGAAACTTGTTGACTGGTAGGAAATGTTCCAAGTACACAAACAAAGACAATAACATATTAAATGTTGGGAAACATGAAATACGGCACCTTCTCGTCTCGACCCTCAAAAGCCATTTGGTCATATTTGTGCGAACTATTTTCCACTTTACATCTAAGCTTCATGTTTTCTGTTCTTAAATTCTGCAGTTCGCTCGACATCAACGAGATTAAACATACATTATGCAAGAGCTAAATCTGTCTATTGCAGGTCTTTCTTCAGGCCTGAAATGTTTTCTAAAGTATTAATTAGACATTTATTAACTGATCCAGGCCTTAATCAACTCTCGATGGCATCAGATTTCTCCGATAAATAGATTAGAATGGTTCAGCGATACTTTGATTTAATCAAATATGGAGGACCGAGACTTAGCTTCGATCAACCAGTACGGTGGTTGAAATTATTGCACACATCTGTCAAACCTTCAATGGCTAATACCTTCGCTTGCAATAGAGTAATTTGAATGAAATTTTCAAATTATTCATTTTACATCATCTACTTTCGAACTATTATAGCAAGAATGGCTAGTTCTTTATCTAAATCTTACATAATGTATCTTTAACTCTTCTTTCTATCCCAGTGTTGTTCCTCTTTTATCTCTTGATTGTCTTGTAGTAGCATAGTCTTTCTTTTTTCTGTCCTCTGTTGATGACGTTTAAAACGATTAACCTCTGGTGACATTATACTTTCTTGTGTGTCTTAGTCTTTTGATGCAGAGATACAGAAGGAATCCAGTCAGGACTGTCCTTTTCATATAGACCTGCCCCTTTCCTGAAAAACGTGCAGAAAAAAATCTTTAAATTTTCTGACATTCCTATGAGATTTGTAAAATTGCAAGATTTGCAATGAAAAAAATATGTCCCGGTAGACAAAGAAATATTAAGATAAAGTAGATCTACCGATAGACGCATAAAAATTACAGGAAACTAATGATGTTATAACTTGTATTTATTACAGGAAACTAATGATATAACTTTTATATACATATAACAGGAAGCTAATGATGTTATATCTTTTATATATATTACAGAAGACTAATGATGTTATAACTTTTATATATTGCAGGAAACCAATGATGATATAACTTTTATATATTACAGGAAACTAATTATGTTATAATTTTTATATATTACAGGAAACTAATGATGTTATAACTTTTCATCAGTGTACAATCTGTGATGAAGTTTTTCAAAGTTTTTGTGGTTTAGAAAACCACTACAAAGTGCATGTTAAAGAAGAGAAATCTGATGACGTAGATGAATATTGTCATGTTCGTTTTAAAGAAGAAAAAACTAGTGATGTAGATAAATTTTGTCATGTTAAAGAGGAGAAAACAGAAAACATTGAAACATGCTATCAGTGTAATTTGTGTGATGAAGAATTCAATTTAGAAACTGATTTAGAAAAACACTGTGAAAAACATGTTGAAGAAGAGGAATCTGGTTTACAGCAGGGTAATAATTGGGAGGAGAGTTTTAGCCAGAATAATGAAAAAGAAATACACAATTCACAAGAGTTTAAGAAGTGTGATGTTTGTAGCAAATCATTTAACAAATATTACCTTAAAATTCATTTGCGACATCATACAGGGGAAAAACCCTTTACGTGCGATATTTGTAGTAAATCATTCATATACACCAGTCAACTACAGAGACATATCAGAATTCATACCGGTGAAAAACCTTATAAGTGTGATGTTTGTAGTAAATCATTTACCAACAGTACCGATCTACAGAAACATATCCGAACTCATACAGGCGAAAAGCCTTTTACATGCAATATTTGTAGTAAATCATTTACTGACAGTAGTCATCTTCGGAGACATATCAGAATTCATACAGGCGATAAACCCTTTAAGTGTGATGTTTGTAGTAAATCATTCACTGAGATTACTTATCTTCGGAGACATATCAGAATTCATATTGGAAAAAAGCCCTTTAAATGTGGTGTTTGTAGTAAATCATTCACTCAGAGTACTAATCTTCGGAGACATGTCAGAATTCATATTGGAGCTAAACCTTATACATGTGATGTTTGTAGTAAATCATTCTCAAGGAGTAATTTACTGAAAAGTCACATGAGAACCCATATGGGAGACAACCCCTTTAAATGTGATGTTTGTCGTAAATCTTTCAGTGAGAGTAGTAGTCTGCAGAGACACATGAGAACTCATTCTGATGAAAAATCATATAAATGTGATGTTTGTAGTAAATCATTCTCCAGGAGTTGTTTACTTAAAAGACACATGAGAATGCATCCAAGCGAAAAACCATAATAGATTTACAGTGTATTTAGTCACACCAGAAATCACACTGTAAATAGTAAAATAAAACTTTTTATCAAATCTGTATATGTAGTTGGTTGGTACAAGGAAAAGAGAGCACAATATTGTCATTAAGGCTGTTTGAATGACAATAATAATATTTCCAATGTCCATTTCTTAAGCGCCAAATCCATCCATAAGCGTACTCAATGCGCTTTTAAGTGCAATAATCTAAATTCATGTCTATTCAATTTAGTCTATATAAAATAGCTTGACAGATGAGGTTTAATTGGGATTTGAAACTTCCGCAGTACTAAAGCTTTTTATCTCCGAACTGTTTTAGTGTTGTTGATGGAATGCACAGACAGTTTTAATGGCTGGTACACAGTTAGTAGTTCTGATGATATCAGGGGACTGTGCCCTGTTGACACTGCTTACATTACAACATAGGACCTTGAAGTCTATTAGAATGGGAGCCCAGGGGGGTCAACCGTGCATCCTCAAGTATTATATTAACACTCTGACAGACATTTCTAGTGGTGGGTTACCCCTGACAGAGCTATGTAATTGTCAGACATTTGTAGTGGTAGAGTATCCTTGACAAGAGTTATCTTAATTTCCAGTCCATACCTAGGCTAGATTAGCTGAAATCTGTACCACCTAAAACAGCTTTAGAGTTGTTCAGTACCACCACAGGAATCATGAATGACCACTGCCAGACAGTTTGTGTGGTGGGTTACCCCTAACAGACACGCCCAACATGCCCCCCCCCCCCCACTACAATAGATTAACCGGCACTGTTCCCGTGGTCCCAAAAATTAAGTAGAAACACCTGTCTGAATAGGGGTAATGTGCAACCAGACCAAAGACAACGTCGTTTTTCTTTGGCGCCTAAATCACTGTCCTACGATGGTAATTCTAACTGGCAAGGTTTGCGATATTAATACTTGGTCCGACCAGGAGTGTCGATATCAACAATGCCTTTGCCTGGAAGGCAAAGCCAGCGAGTATTACTCTATAGTTTCGACTAGGTATACTAATAGACGTTTTTTGAATTAATGGCTAAGTTAGACCGTAGATTCGGTAATCAGGATTTACCCGAAACGTCTATGATTCAAGTTCACAATTTGCGGTAATCTTGCGACGAAAAGTTGAACGATTGGGCTGATAAGAGTTTTGTCAGTGGCTTCCTGTACCTTTACGGATTGTACCGATGAACATGTAACAAGTCAAGTAATTCTTCGTTTTTGCCAAGGATCTGATGATAAAGAGGCTGGGCAATGCGCCTGTAATTCTCGCCCGAAAACACTTGAAGGGGCAATTCAAGCGGTTAAATGGTACAAGCATAACAGTATTGCTCTTTTTGGTCGATCAGGCCGTCGTGAGACGCGTAGTCCTAATAGAGAGTACGAGCCTAATCGTGTACGAGCGGTAAATACACCTCAATATAGAGGGACAGTTTCGCCCAAGTCCGAAGGAATGGAAACTCGTATTCAATGTGTTGAGAACCGTTCTATTAAACTCGAAACTACTTTAAACACTTTAGTTGGAAAATTTGTAAGACGGCCTAGATCTCAATCACGATCGCCATCACGTGACCCGTCTTGTTTTAACTGTGGTAAAACTGGCCACTGGAAGCGGGATTGCCCGAGTCAAGGACCTAAACATAGTACCCCTGTACCCGGAAAGGATCCTACTGATCAACGGCGTGTGGGTTTTGTCAGCAATGACGGAGTGGAAGCCCATGGGCCTTTATGTCTGACATGGAGAGCGGACACGTACTAAAACCGGTCGCGACATCCTACGTACGACACATGCATCTTTTCTTACTACATATTTCTGTAATCTTGTGATCGTCTAGAATTTGTCTCTAGCTGTCTTTACTTCTGCTTCACGTTGTGTATTTACTTCTTACAGTTTGTCTTACCAGGAATAACAATGCAACAGTTCGCTTCTACATTTTATATATAGCCGAATACATGTATACAAGCATAATAGATAACAATACTAGCTAAAACCATTTCTCTACCCTAGCCAGCCTCGCGGCTGTCTTGAAACTCAGATGGAACCTCTCTGGAATCTAATGGAAGTCTGCTTGAAAGTTTCAAATAGATATCTTATATAGCACTCATGTATGTCACCCATAACATATCGTGTTCATGGCCCTGAACTTGGGTAATTAACAAAATTAAACCCAATGACGCAATAGTACTACTTTTCCTTGCACTTGTACTCTCTGTGGTATTTTATAGACACATGTTTTGGCTAAATAATTCTTTTTTATATAACAATTTGTCATTTGTACCCTAAGTTGATTTAAGTACACACTATATATAATATATATGTGAATATGTGTGAAACTATTAATTTGCCAAATATATTAATTAATGAAATATAAAGTCATCTTATTCTTATTTCTCTATTCTTTGTCTATAAATTTAAAAACAATGTCGCAACGACTATATTGTTACACGGTGTCAATACAAGAATCGACTCAATCGATTCCGCGAAAGTCGAGGAAACGTGCGAATTATGGACGTCTATCCGTAGGATACATTCAGATTCTATGTATAAACTTGATTTAAAGGTACAAGGCCAACAAATTTCTCCTATTCTAGATACGGGTAGTCAATTGACGATACCATGTAGATGACCATTTAACAAATTTAAGATTAGTATTAGATCGATTCCGGCAATATGGCATGAAATTGAAGCCTAAAAAATGCGAATTGTTTCAACAGGAAGTCGAATTCCTGGGCCGTATGGTCAGTCAAAATGGACTTAAAGCGGGTAATAATTTAACAAAGACCGTCGAGAAATGGATGGTTCCCACCTGTACTAAAGAAGTCGAATCCTTCTTGGGCTTTACGAACTATCATAGAACCGATAAAAAAGCATTTATATGGGGTGATAAACAACAGATTGCATTTGATCAACTTAAACATTTGCTTGTGACAACTCTGGTGTTCGCGTTGTCTACGGAAAATTATACCTTCATTCTGGACTGTGATGTCAGCATGAACGCCATTGCCGCCGAATGATCACAGATACAAAACGGCCAAGAAAGAGTTATCGCCTATAGCAGTTTTTCCCTTTCGCCCGAGCAGCGTGCTTACTGTACAACAATACAACCCTTTTGGCAATTGCACGGTTCACTAGACAATTTCGACATTATTTGCTTGGGAGACATTTTATAGTAAGAACTGACCATGCCAGTTTAACCTGACTATTACGTTTTAAACACCCGACAGGATAACTCGCCCGCTGGTTAGAGGAATTAGGTCAATATTACATGACGGTCGAACAGAGTAAAGCGAGTTTACATATCAACGCATATACATTAAGTCGTATGAAACTAAAGGATAAACCGTGCGACGATTTTAACAGATGTCCAATTAACAGATTTACCGTGCGGTGGTTGTTGCTATTGTCAAAGAGCTCATAGGAATTGGATAGAATTCGCTACAAATGTCGACGATGTAATACCGTTACCATATAAGTTCGGTATTAAGCGCAATTTACTGTTAGACAAAAATACCAGCGATGACCCGTTAGTATAACGGTTACAGGGTATCCGAACGACCCCCGGATAAACGGCGTAACGATTGATGAAGTTGAGAGCGATGACGTAATAGGCGAGGGGATTTCCCAAACTGACTATTCTGCAAAGAAGATCAAAACTGCTCAATTTAATGATGAAGATTTAGAGATTATTCTGACTTGGCTGAATACGGGAATCGAACCGGAAGAAAGTGATTTAACCTTACAAAATCCAGCGGTAAAACATTACTGGATTAACCGTAATTTATTTCTTTTGGATAATGGTGTTCTTCGCGTAAAACGACCTAGTAATTTGTCAAATACTCGGTTGGTTGTACCGAAAGAATTAAAAATTGAAATCTGTCGAGTATGTCACGACATTCCATCGTCGGGTCACCAGGGTATTCAGAGAACGAAGGATCGTATCAAACAACAGTTTTATTGGTATGGCATGACGGAGTATGTCCGTGCCTATGTCGCGTCTTGTGGTACGTGTAATATCAATAAAAATACGCAGGCAAAGGCCCGTTATAAATTGAATAGATATCACGCGGGTTTGCCGATGGAGAGAGTGCACCTAGATTTCTTAGCGCCGTTACCGGTCATGCAGGTGGGTAATGAGTATATCTTGATGATGGTTGACCAGTTTTCAAAGTGGGCTGAATGTATCCCCCTACCGTCGCAAACTGCAGAGGTTACTGCTAAGGCAGCAGTGAATGAATTCTTTTCGCGTTTTGGCTGTCCGTTTCAGGTTTTTACGGACCAGGGGAGAAACATCGAAAGTAATTTGTTCACCACATTATGCTAAGTATTACAAATTCATAAAGGTTGCACTACCCCTTATAGACCGTCATCTAACGGACATATTGAACGTTATAATCGCACGCTTATGGAAGCAGTAGAGTGTTACATAGACGGTTGTCAAAATGATTGGGATATTTATCTACCGCAACTTGCGAGTGCTTTACGATCTAGTCTTAATAGACAAATGGGTTATACGGCTAATAAACTAATGTTAGGACGAGAAATCAATCACACCGCTGACCTTATGTATAGTTCAACCGTTGAGAACGCTGGTGATGTAGATTCGCCCGTATCAAAACTCGAACAGGCTTTAATTGAAACGCATAAATTAGCCCGTGATAAACTCAATACGAGCCAGGAACGCATGAAAAGAGATTACGATTTGCTCGCGAATGTGAAAAAGTATCAATTAAATGACGCTGTTTATGTCCTGGATACGGCTACCAAAAAGGGTAAACGCCGCAAATTATCTCCTACGTGGAAAGGCCCAGGGGTTATAACACAAGTAATCACACCATATTTGTTCCGCATCAAAACACGCAAAGGCGAAACGGTGTTAAATCAGGGAATTGCCGCCGTGGATATTGAGATTCCGTAGGAGATCGGAATCCAACATGACCATTCCGGTCGATAACCAGGATACTGACGTTTACTGTATTTGTAAAAAACCGGATGACGGCGGTCCCATGATATGTTGTGA